TCTCTCTCTCTCTCTCTATCTATCTCTCTCTCTCTCTCTCTCTCTCTCTCATAGATAGAGATGTGACCTCTCAGCTACTGCTCCAGCACTGTGCCTGCTTGCCAGCCTTTCTGCTGCCATGCTCCCTGTTATGATGATTTAGTCTTAGTCACTGTTCTGTTGCTGTGAACAGATACCATGACCACAGCAACTCTTATAAAGGAGAGCATTTAACTAGGGCTTGCTTACAGTTTCAGAGGTGCAGTCCATTATCACAGTAGGGACATGGTAGCACACAGGCAGACAGAGTGCTGGAGAAGTAGCTGAGAGTTCTACATCTGGATCCTCAGGCAGCAGGAAGAGACACTGGGCTTGAAATGGGCTTCTGAAGCCTCAAAGCCCACCCCTCCCCCAATGACACACTTCCTCCAACAAAGCCACACCTATTCCAACAAGGGCTTACCTCCTAGGCTTACTCCCTAGTAACTAAGTAACATGAGCCTATGGGAGCCTTTCTTATTTAAACTACCACAGTGATCATGGACTCTTACCCTCTAGAACCACGAGCCCCAAGTTGCCTTGGTCATGGTGCTTTGCCACAGCAACAGAAAAGTACCTAAAACACCCCCTTAAATTGTTCTATCAGGTTCTGTGATCACAGCAATAAAAAAAAAAAAAAAGCAAGCAGTCCACATTCATGAGCCCACCATCCAACGCTAATTATTCTCAGTGTCCTGCAATGGTAAGAACCAAGTTTCGAAGATACTTTATGTACTGGGTGGTTTTGTGTGCAACTTGATATAAGAAAACAGGCTGAGCAAGCCGTGGGAAGCAAGCCAGTAAGCAAGACCCCTCCATGGCCTCTGCATCAGCTCCTGCCTCCAGGATCCTGACCTGTTTGAGTTCCTGTCCTGACTTCCTTTGATGATGAATAGCAATCCTGAAGTGTAAGCCACATAAACCCTTTCCTCCCCAACTTGCCTTTTGGTCATGGTGTTTCGCTGCAGCAATAGAAACCCTGACTAAGACACTGTACTTTCAAAGTTATAGTTATAGTTGGCTCATTCTTACTTTTTCTTCTTTGAAATCTTCAGCAGTAAACTTTTAATTCCAGTTATTTTATGTTTAAGTGAAAAGACTTAAGACTCATACTTTCAGCAGAAAAAAAAGTTATGTTTGTCCAATCATTAAATATCTATTGTGCTTCTGTTTGCCCAACATTGCAACACACGTGTATTTATATAGTTGTGCCGGCTAGTTTAATGCCAACTTGATACAAGCTGGGAAAAGGGAATCTCAATTGAAATTATATCCACACCAGACTGGCCTGTAGACATTTTCTTGATGAAATGATTGATGTGGGAGGGTCCAGACCACTGTGGGCAGTGCCGCTTCTGGGCTGGTGGTCCTGAATCCTATATGAAAAAAAAGCTGAGCAAAGAAGTAGCATTCCTGTAGATGGATTTTTCTTTGGGCCACCAGCTCACAAAAAAAAAAAAAAGACAGGAGACTTATTATTAATTATGAAAGCTTGGCCTTAGCCTAGGCTTGTTCATGACTAGTTCTTACAACTTAAATTAACCCTTTTTTTTTTTTTTTTTGGTTTTTTGAGACAGGGTTTCTCGGTGTAGCTTTGCACCTTTCCTGGAGCTCACTTGGTAGCCCAGGCTGGCCTTGAACTCACAGAGATCCGTCTGCCTCTGCCTCCTGAGTGCTGGGATTAAAGGCATGTGCCACCAACACCCGGCATTAACCCTTATCTTTTAATGTGTGATCTTTTACATAGCTTGGTTACCTTCTGTACTGCCCATCGAGCTTCCTCTCCATCTGGCTGGCGACTCTGCCTTCTTCTTCCCAGAGTTCTCTCTGTTCAGAAGTCCTGCTCATACCTAGCTATTGACCATTTAGCTTTTTATTAAACCGATCACAGTGTCACATCTTCACACAGTATAGAGGCATATTCCACAACACATTTCTCCATGGTTTGTGCTTCAGTTTATGCCTCTGGGTTCCTACCTTGAGTTCCTGCCCTTTCTTTCCTTGGTGATAGAGTTTGTGCCTGGAGAGTTGTAAGATGAAATAAACCTTTTTCTCTCTAAGTTGTTTATGGTCATGGTGTCTTATCACAGCAATAGAGACCCTAAAGTAATAGTATATTTTTTGTAGTGTTTAATTGGCACACCATTTTGCTGTA